CCCCAAAACCCCAAAACCCCAAAACCCCAAAACCCCAAAACCCCAAAACCCCTTCTATTTTTATTAAAATAGAAAATATTATTAATCCTTCTGCATATCCTTGATCTGTTTCTCAGTATCACTCATCCATTGTTGATTCATTTCAATCATCTTGTTGATCTTTGTATCGAAGTCTTCAAGATCCAACTTCATTCCTTCTTGAAGTGCACGCACGTCATGTTCTCCCTTCTCCTCTGTCTCTTTCAAGTTTTTTTGTATCTTTTCAATATTATCATCTATCTGTTTCTTAGTGTCTTTTTCTTGATCTTCAAACTGCTTTTTAAACTTCTTCTCCATTTCTTCCATATCTTTCTTTTGTTTCTCTTCGATTTCCTCTATATCCTTCTTCTGCTTCTGTTCAAGCTCTTCGATATCCTTCTTTTGTTTAAGTTCTAGTTCTTGCATATCTTTCTTCTGTTTCTCTTCTAGATCTTTGAATACTTTCTTTTGTTGCTCCTCCATTTGTTCAAACTTCTCCTTCTGTTTAGCCTCCATTGCGATTAAGTCGACCTTGAAGTTGTCTTTGGTGTCATTTTCTTTGTCTATGGTATAGATTAGAGAATGGGATTACCTTTCTGCTTTTTCTCTTCTTCTTCCCTCTTTTCCTTTTCTTTTTGGGCTTCAACTTCTTTGCGGAGCTGTTCTTTCTTTTCCTCTTCCTCTTTACGTTTTTCGTCTTCTTCTTTCTTTTTGCGAGCTTCTTCTTCCTTGCGCTTTTCTTCCTCCTTCTTCCTATCCTCATCTTGTTTCCGCCTCTTTTCCTCCTCTTCCTTATACTTCTTCTCTTGTTCTTCTTTTTCTTTAAGGAGGCGTTCACGGTCTTCTTCTGCCTTCTTGATTTTTTCTTGTTCCTGCTTTTGGGACTCAACCTTTTCTTTTTGAAGGCTATCCATATCTTCAAGCCGTTTAGACTCTATTTCTTTAATACTTTCAAGAGCAGATTCAGCTTTTGTGTCTACTTCTTGGGCGAGAATGCTTATCTTCTTAGTCCGATTATCTACAGCTCTGAAGTTATCTATATTCCGTTCTTCAGCGACCCAGGACACCATCTCACTGACTACCCTTTCAATCTCGATTCTTTCCTTGACCCTGTCAATGTCCTTTTTATTGTCAACTTCTACAGTGGCAATGGCGGTTTCCATGCTGTTAACTTTTTCCTTTTGGCCGTCAATTTCATCGCGGAGGTTATTCAGGATGTCCTGAATTTGTTCGAGGTTCTTGCCAAATTCACTCTTTAAGTTTTTGTTAAAGTCTTCGTACTGTTTGTTAGAGGTATCGTTTACTACTCCGATGTAGTTGTCGATTGAACTAGCAACTTCTTGTAGCGCTTCTTCGTATTTCTCATCAAGCCCGTCAATAGAAGCCTTAGCGATGATCAGATCTGTAGTGGTAGCTAACTCAAGAGAGTTGATACGAGTGGTAAGAGAGTCTGACGTAGAGTCTATCTTCTTATTAGTCAAGGTGATTTCTTTGGAAACATGGGACTTAAAGGATGCCATCTGTGCCTCACGCTCCTTTCCAGCAAGCTGTTCAGACATACTATTTACAAGAGATCTGATTTCTATATTGTCTTTAATGAGTTGAATCTCTTTGTCTAGTTTTAAGTTTAGTTCTTTTTGAAGCTCATATAATTTTTCTGTCAATTCTTCATAATTTTCATCAATCTTCTTTGCATTGTCATCAATACTAAGATCATGAGCTTCAAGATGCTTCTCGTGTGATTCTTTAGTTCTTTCATATTCAGCTTTGAATGTATCGATTCTGATGGAAATTTTTTCAGTCTCTTCATCAATCTTATTCTTTAAGTTCTTGTCAACACCATCTATTCTATCTCCAAGTATCTTGAGTAACCTCTCATATTCTTTTGTTCTCTCTGAGGACTCTTTTGCAATAAGTGCTTTGTTAAGAGCTTTGAGACTTTCAATCTGGTTACGAATATGCTCATTAATCAAGTTCTTGTTTGACTCCATTAAGTTATTAAGTTCAGCAATCCTGTCATTCCTCTGGCGTTTCTCGGTCTCAAGTTTGTTATTGAAATCAGTTGTAAGAGCAAGTCTAGAGCTTTCTATCTTTTCAATAATTGTGATATTAACTTGGTCAATATCTTTATCGACTTCTTTTCGAGTCCATTCTTTAGTCCTTTTTTCACTATTACCAATCAAGGTTTTTGTCTCAATTTTATGTGCACTCAATTTTTCATTAGTCTTTAAGATCTCTGATTGGTTAGTCACAATTTCATTCTTCAAACTCAGGTGTTTCTTCCCATTTTCAGCCTTCATGATTTGTAGTAGTTCTTTGATGTTCTTTTCAATGTCTATAGCAAAAGCTTGGCATCTTCCTTCCATCATGAGTTCATTTTTCATCCGATCTTCACTGATTTTCTCTCTAAGATCCTTATTTTTCTGCTCTACAAATTGTCTAATCTCCTTATTATAATCCTTGATGGAGTTTAAGAAATCATCATCGAATTTGTCAGTCAGCTTGGTGAGTGCAAGTTGAACCCTATCCTCCAGAGTAGTGTCATCGACTTCGATCTTCTTTCGAAGGTCTTCCATTTGGCCATCTAGCTTCAATTCATGATTTTTGAGCCGTTCCTGAGTCAACTCGTATCTTTCTTTGGCATCCTTCGTACTTTTACCAATGTTCTTATTCAGAACTTTCATAACTGAATGGATTTCCAGAAGTTTCCGAGTTTGAAGATCTTCGAAAGAAACTTTCCACTTTGAAATCTTTTCATCATTGTTGTTGATGGTATCTCGAAGCTCTGAGGTCTGGGTGTTAAGCAATTTTTCAAAAGCACCAACAATTTTCTCAAACCTTCCGATTTCTTTGTCCAAGGTATCATTGACTGTTTGAGCATGCTTGTAGGTGCTCACTTGGATATCGTTAAGCTTCCCTCTGTTATCTCCGATTTCTGTTTCAATATTATCCATCCTAGCGGTGATAGATTCCTTCACTGTCTGAACAGTTTCAGTCAAAGTGCTCATATTGTCATTTAAGACAACCTGACTTTTACTAATACTGATTAGATTTTGCTCCTTAGTGCCAGTGATAATGTCATCAATTGTAGAAAGACTCTCTTGAAGTTGCTCCATCATCTTCTTTTCTCTATCTAAAGCCATCTTTTCTTCATTCTTTATCTTTTGATGTAAGCTGGATACTTTTTGTTCAAACCATTCCCTGAGGTCATCTTCATTCTTAAGCCTGAAAGCACTTTCATCCTCTAGCTTTCGCTCGACTGTTCGGATGTAATTATTTTAAATACTCTGTATTTCCATCGTCTTTATCTTCTTTAAGAGAATGCACCTTGGTTCTTTCTTCTTCCCCTGCTCTGAACATTTCAAGTTGGTAGTCTCTGTGTTCTTTCAGTCTATCAAGGATTTCTTTCTCCTGTGAATGCATTTTCTGTTGGAGCTGATAGAATAGTTTTTGAGACTCTTCAAAGTCTTGCTCCCTCTTCATTCTCTCAGACTGCAACTGCTCTTTCAAGTGTCTCACATCCGTCCCGATCTCAACATCGACGACCCCTTTCCTGGTGTCGTCCTGGTCGCTTCGTCGGTGAGTCGACGCCATGGCCTCCATCTTGGAGTCAACTGCGCTCGAAAGCGAAGTCAGCTTGAACTTGTTGGCTTCGACCTGTGTCGCCATCGAGTCGACCTTCTTGACGAGACCGAACACTGTCTTGTCGAGTGTCTGCTTAAGCGACGAAACCAGTTTCTCTTGAGACCCAATCTTGTTCTTGGTGTCTCGCCACTGGAAGTTGTCACGCTCTTCGATGGACTTGAGTTCGCGAGTCATTTTGCTGGGAATTTCTTCAAGAATCTGGTTGAGTTTGCGTTCAAAGCCAGCTTTAATATCGATCATGTTGACTTCGAGTTCCCTAAGTTTGTCACGCATATCACTAATGTAAGTTTCTGGTCGACCTAGGAGAGGAAGCCTGTTTCCCTTGGTTTGAGTTTGAGAAATATCCTTTTTAATGACATCAAGATCATTCGGCCCTCCTTCTCCCCCGAGCAGTTTTCCATCCACATTCCTTCTCCGAATAGGAGGAAGTCTAATGCTTTTTAAAGAAATTGACTTCTCATTCATATTTTGATAATCATCATTATTACCTAGTACACTACCAGCTCTTTCAGTTGCTGCTTCATCATCAACCTTATGAGAGAGGACATCCCAAAGGTTGTCTTTTCCCCCAATATTGTTCTGAGGAGTATTGCCTCTATCCATTAATTTTATTTAAAAGTATAATAAATTTTTGAATATTTACGGGGTTTTGGGGTTTTGGGGTTTTGGGGTTTTGGGGTTTTGGGGTTTTGGGG